AAAAAAAAAAAAAAAAAAAAAAAGAATAAACATCAAAAGGTGCAGCAGTAAAAGGTGAACACATTTTAAAAGTGTGATAAGATATGGTAATCGAGCAGCACCCCTCTCCCAAGAGAGACCATAATCACAGCCCCCAAACACCAGTCAAGTCCATCCTATAAAGACCAAGAGTGACTGCAGCCGCCAGCAGAGCGTATCTATAAAGTATCTCCTCTTTATTTAAGTTAAACAATTTTCAAGGATGGTTTCCATCTATAAAATGGACGAAGCACAAGCTCTGTACAGCAGTTCTTTTTAAAAATCAACTGGAAAAAAAATTACCAAACTATATTTTGAATTTGCAAAACATATCACAGATACCATCATTTTAGCTTTTATGAAGACATAAGAAAGACCAGCACAGAGAAGACAACTAACTTCGCCACGCTTTGCTCCAAGGGCTTTTAGGAAAGAATCTTTACTTGTAAAAACAAGAGTGGGAGAGGGGGACAGTCCCGATGACTAAAAAGTAATGCAGCCACAGTAAGTCACTTTGGCACACTGTGTCATGTAAACATAGCTCACCCAAGGGAGCCCTCCCAGCCCACCTCAGCTCACAATGCCCACACCTGCCAAGGCCGCCACCCCTACCACCTCAGGGATGGTGGAGCTGCCCCCCAAGGGCCCCGGGGGGACGCATCTCAATGGTACAAAGGTTGGTAAGACTTCTGGGTGGGGTGGAGGTGTGTGGGCAAAGAATTTTGTCAAGAACCTGATTAAAATTTGTGTTACTTTAAAGCCAAATTTGTTTTCCGTCCATGGGATTTTTTTCCTAACAGTAGAAGTCGCCTGACAACGGAACCCAGGATCTGGGTGGCTGCTTCCTGCCCCACCTGTGCTCAGCAGCCTTGCACAGGTACCCAGGACTCTCCCTAAGAGCCTACTGGTGGTCACGATCAGCCTCTGAAGATATAGTTGTGCCGAGTTAATCCAGCTACGGTCTCCCGGTCCACCGAAGATACACCTGGTTGGTCGGCAGGGGGCAAAAAGACGCAGAACAAAGTCACCCAGCCATGCCTCTAGGCCCGAGCCCATTGTCATAAAGCACACACATGGGGGGGCTTCTGCAGTGGAGGAAGAAAGACCAACGCCCCCTTTCCTAGAAGAAACAGGCAGGAGAGAGCTGCACTTGGCTGAGTGTCAACCTGGCAAAACTTTCTGGGGCCACTTCTCTGTGACCTCCCAGGCCCTCCCAGAGGGGCCTGAAGGTGTGCCCGTGTGACGCCTCTTGGACACTGGGCATCTGTGTGACGAAGTGCTGGGTGAGGGGGGCGCAGGAAGGCAGGAGGGCAGTGACAACGAGAGTGACCCGGGCGCCCCGTGGGGTCTGCGGCTGGGCTACCCCTGTGTGTGGGCACCTCGGAGGCAAGGAGGGCTCTGCGGGGACACGCCTGGGTGTCAGGGCAGCGCCCAGGCCACTCTTCCTGCTTCACTTTTAGTTCACGACCGTCTTGTGGTTTATACTGACATACGCCTCCTAAGCCACAAAGCTCCTGTTTTGTGCTCCGAATCGTCAGCGTCATTGAGCTGGTGTTGTTTGGTTTTCACTTTTCCTAATTCTTGACCCAAAGCCCCTGAGGCAGGCAGGACTGGGCCCAGGTGACCTTCACAGTGGTGCCAGCACACCAGGGTCCTCACCATGAGCCCAATGCTGCCTGGGACAGCTTCCCACCATCACTGGGAGCTGGCAGATTCTTTTTTACTCATTTTATCCTTAGAGAAAAGAAATCTAATTTACAAAGACCCAAAGCAATAATCTGTCAAATTAAGTAACCCATTCAGGGTTTACAGACACCAAGGGCACGAAAAGTGGATTCCGACACAGAGCATGACACTCCCAGCTGAAGCCAAACCGAGATGCCACCGGGGTCCGGGCCTCGGGGCAGCGCTAGCCTCCCGGGGTGGCGGCCACAGCAGGACCTACCCACCTATAAGGCTCTGGGGGCAAAGGAGGCGCTTTCTCCCTCGGGCGCCGAAGGGCTCAGCCCCTCCTCCTGACGCTGTGATCTGCTTTGTGGACAACTTACAGGATGAGGGTGACCTACAGAAACCATAGGAACTGACCGTACATTCTTTCTTCATACATGTCTGTGTGCAGTGTCCCACCACAGCAAAGTTCATATCCAAAGAGAGCAGGTACACCACGTGGAAGGGGGTCCGGGAAGACAGCTGGGAGGGCGGGGCAAACGCCGTGACGTGACCGTGACCGTGACCCGGATGGAAACCGGACGTGCTATCCGCGGATCCGAGTGGAGGCTGGAGAGCTCGCTCGCTGTGCTGCGGCCGCTGCCCCTTCCCTCCCGGTCCGGCCGCCCGCAGGCGTGGGGCTCCCGCATCCATCCGCGTGGCGCGGGGCCGGTAGGGGCGGCGGGGCCCGGGGTCGGGGTGGGGCCAGCTCCCCCTCCTCGCCGCCCCGGTGCCACCCGCCCCGCGCCGAGGTCCTCCGACCTTCAGACCGTGATGGAATACTGAGGTATATAGTTTCTCCGAAAGTTTAAGAAACAGAATCAATAACGTCGGGCTCGGTCGGGCTCGTCGTCAGGCCCGACGGCGCGGGAGGACGCGGGCGGCTCGCTCTACTGCTGCAGGTTGAGCGAGAACTTCCACTGCTGGGACAGCGCGGGGCCGCACACCTCCACGCTGAGGCCGCCGTTCTGGGCCCCGCGGCTGTCCAGGCACAGGTTGCTGCCCACGTGCCGCAGCTTGGAATTGCCCTCGATCTGCTCCCATTTCTGCAAAAGACAGGAAAACACCTTACAGCAGGGGCGCCGCCAGGAGAGGGCACAGCGGGGCTGCTCTCAGGGTCTGCTGGCTGCACTCACGACAAGGTCTCTGACGAGGACGGACGGGCATCCGCAGCAGCCCGGGTGAAACCACGCACCTCAGACTGGGACCTGAACCCACGCGGCTGGAAGTCCAACCCGGCCAAAACCCACAGTCTTCCAGCTGAGATCACACTTCCCTTCTCAGGTTCTTGATGTCTCATCGCAGAAAGAATTCAGCGAGAGACAAAGTGATAGATAGGTAAGAAGTGGATTTATTTAGAGAGACACACACTCCACAAACAGTGTGGACCATCTCAGAAGGCAAGAGTGGCACCAGGGTTTGGGGTTGTCCGTTTTTATAGGGGTGGGTCATTTCACAGGCTAATGAGTGGTGAGAGTATTCCAGCTGTTTGGGGGAGGGGGCGGGGATTTCCAGGAATTGGGCCGCCGCCCTCATTTTGACCCTTGTGGTCGCTCTTGGAACTGTCATGGCACCTGTGGGTGTGTCATTTAGCTTGCTGATGTGTTACTGTGAGCGTACACTGAGGCTTAAGGTCTAGTGGAAGTCGACTTGTCTGCCATCTTGGACCCATCTGGTTCTTATCTGTTTATGTCGTGTCCTCAGGCTATGTCATTCTTTCAAAGGCTGTGCCCTGCCCCCTTACCTCCTGTTTCATGGGGACAAAACAGCATCCGCTGAGGGCCCAGGAAATAAACCAGCACTCTCCGGTTAGTCTGCAGCCCCAAACCTCCTCTCCGGGCCTTGCTGGAGACCGCTTCCCTGCCCCATCCTTCCCCCTCTTCGGGCATCTCCTCAACCAAGCCCCATGCTTGGGCCCCTGCCCCTCCTCAGTCTTAAGGACTCGACACATGGGGAATTTCCTGCAGAGACTTGGCATTCTTTCACAAGAAGGCCTCATCTGAGGATATTTCCCCTCGAGGAAGCAGCCACAGGAACCAGGCGAGCTCCAGGAGGGCCCAGGCTGCCTGCCCCTGGCTGTTGAAAGCCGCCCTGCTGAGGCCGGTGCCGGGCCTGGGCCCCTCAGCGTGCCCACTCACACGTAGGGCCTCGTGCTGCACCAGAGGGATGGGGTGAGGCCAATGGGAGGGAAAGGGATGCTTGTGTGGACAGAATGCCCTGTCTGCTGCAGAGACCACCTCTCCACTGTCTCTCCACCCTCTCCACCTTGGTGGGTGTGGAAGCCTGTCTCAGCTACCCTAAGTCCCCAAGCGCTACATGCCGAGTTCTGCGTGTGCCACCTGTACAGTCCAGGGCGTAGCGCCTTTGTACTCCTGTGGGTATGCACCTGTGCCCCACTAAACCCAAACCAGCCAGGCAAACCAGCGAACAAGCCCACAGCCCAGCCATGGGAAACCTGAGGGCCTCTCACACTGTTGTTTATCCCCATGTAAAAATCTCTAATGTCTGTTCTTTACAAAAAAAAAAAAAGTAACATGCTTTTTTCTTACAAAAGCTCTCCCTTCATTAATGCAGTCTGTGATTCTAGTTAATTTTTTACACTGTATGCACAGAAGCTCCCTTCCGTTGGTATTTTTGCAAATCCTTTGGACATCGTGGAATTACATTTTCTTACTCTTGCTTTCCTTTCCCCCTTGACTCTGCAAACGCACACCTAACACAAACACACAGACGTGCCTGGAAAGCCAATGTTCCAACTGGCAAGAGGAGTGCAGCTTTGAGACAGAACCAGCTGAGAAGCCTCCTCTCGAAGGGCAAGTGAATGAGGTGCGAAGGAGGCAAAGCAAGGCAGGGAGGGGCCCTGCAAGGATGCCCCCGTGGGGACCCTGGGCCGCTTGCGAAGCCAGCCTGCCGGCCTGGAGTTTTTGCCAACAGTGAAACGCAGTGCAATCCAATGGGCACAGGGAGAGGGACCGCCCGTCACCTGCCCATCACCTCCTCCTTCATTCCTGTTCCCTCTTTGCTGCCATTCCTCCTGCGCTGTCACGTGAAGCGTGTCTGTGCTGCCAACATCCGCGTGTCACTGAGGGCCAGAGCTTGCCTGACAAAGAATCTGGAATGCGTGGACTTTGACTCCGTTCCCTGAGGAGCTCTGCCTGTGTCACAGCATCAGCCAGATGGAAGGCCTCAGCAACGCCCAAACCCCAGCTCCGTCCGTGGGAGGTAGCCTCGGCAGCCTGGAGCCCTGGGCCCAGACGGCTGTGGTGGGGTGGGCAGATTCCCAGATGCAGAGGCTCCACTGAAAGGGCCACACCTTCTCTACCGGGCAAGGAAGGGCCCGGGGTTGACAGTTTAAGAGATCTCCACTTATGTAAGCCACACACCCAGAAGAGCTCATTGTCTGCAGGCCTTTCTCCCTCTTATGACGTGAGCCTTTCAGGGTGAGAACCGGATGGTGGCAGGAACACGTCAGCCCTTGACGTACAGCAAGCTCTCACTAAAGGAGACCCCTCCAGAGATGGAGCATCTGTCTGTTCTTAACAAAGGTTTGGAGCCCAGATAAAGTCATCACTTTATCCCTCCTTTACCCTAGACGCCCCTGCCCTTAAAGCCGGGGCAGGGCACCTGGCCCAGCACCATGCTCTCCCGACGTAGGTCCCAGGAGGTTGGGGCCGGGGACAGTGGCCTCCATGTTTACCAGCCCCTCCTTCTCACTTGGGTGCCACGGCTGTCAACACAGGCATTTAGGGACCTGCTGGGGTTCTGCAGAGCAGGGCGGGGGGCACCCGGAACCAGGCGGGGGTGACAGAGGAGAGACGGCCCTTTTCAAGTGTTTCCTGACAACTGGGCTCCAAGCAAGGCACCTTGGTGTGGGCCCTGGTGCTCCTGGGGGACCCTGGAGAGTACCCCAGGCTCTGGGCCTCAGCTTCCCTTCTGTGAAAGGAGTGGTGTGTGGGAAGCCCACGTGGGCTCCTGGCTCCAGCCAGCCCCAGGCCTTAGTTCCCCCAGACCCGTGTGTCTCGTGAGGAGGGACAGAAGAGGACAAGCCCGGCTCCCCGTGTGGGCACGTGGGAAAGTCCTTTGGGGATTGCACTAGCCACTCCCCCTAGGCCCAAGAAAGGCTCTGCCCCCAAGGTACCCCCAGGGCGCAGGTCAGAGAAAACCGGCCAAAGAGGTAAACATATGTTCTGAACCGTTTGGAAAAAAGTAACACGAGTGTGCGTGTAAGGTCTCATCTAGTTGCACCTTAATCGTTTTCAATTTGTAAACTTAAAAAGGAAGAATACTTAATGAATAAACAAAAACACGCGGAATTTCTCTTTAAAATGGCCAGTGGTGTGGGGAAGAGAATGAGAACATAATCGGAAATAAGCCACAGCAGGCCTCTGGCTTCAGAAATAAAGGCCTCTTTATATATATTTTTATAAAATATAGGTCTTCCTTTCGGGCTTGGGGGGTTCATCAGCAATGGAAGTCAACCGGGGTGAAACACCTCCTCTGGAGACACTATCATGAACCTCAGTACCTTTTCTAGGCTGGTTTGTAGGTCAGTGTTTCATTAACTTCTCGTGAGTAAAGTCATACATTTTCATTTTTAAAGCAAAGCTGAACTTTGGCTGGCTCGGGCCAGCACCGCTCCTGGCGGGGTGCACTGGCTGGGCTGCTCTAGCTACAGAGAAGCCAGGGGCCAGGGACACCGCTGGGCACCACCCCCCATCCTGGACCAGGGGTCTGTGCCTCCATGCAGGGGTCGGTGGCGTGCTGGCCCACACACACTGGCCACCAGCATCCTCGTCCCTTGGGTGCTCTCGGGCATCACCAGACAGAGCTTTTCTGGGCGCAGTACCCACGTCTGGGCACGAGGGCTGCGTCTGAGGAAGGGCCCCGCCCGGCTCAGCTGGCTGCCAGGGTGAGGGGAGCCGCTTCTGGCGTTGGGACCCCTCCCTGCCCCAGTGCCCAGCCTGCGGAGGCCCTTACAGACCCACGCAGGAGCTGAACACGCAGCCTCAAAGCACAGCCCTGCCTCTGCAGCCTGTTAGAGGACAGACCAAACATAAACAGATGGATGCAGAGGGGGAGGAATAACCAGGACAGTGACCTCCCGGCAGAAGGACCAGCCCGCGCCCTGCGCCCCTCAGGCATCCCAGCGCTTGCCAGGGGCTCCACACGGGGATGCAGAACAGCGCGAGTCAAAAGGTGCCGCCTGTGAACACCCAGTATCCCCGCTGTGATCCAGGCCCTGGGGTAACAGGGTAGCTGGGCCTGCTGGGCTGGTCCCCGGCCAGCACCTACCTGCCGGCTGTCGTTCTCCCGGCAGCCCTGCAGCTTTATGAGGGAGCCAGGCGCCCGGTCCACCACGGTCAGGCACAGGTCCATGTGTTTCACCGACTTCTCCTTTGTCAGGGCCCACTCCTGCAACACAAAGCCAAGGTCAGGGCTCGGCACACGGGGAACAGGCTTCAGAAGCCCTGACCAGCTCAGGGCCAACAAAGGACTTTGTGCCTAAGAGCAAGTCTCCAACCGGGGGTGTCGGGGAGCCTCATAACTAACTGAGCACTCGGCCAACAGTAGTAAGAACTTAAGCCCAAACGCAGGTGAGAGCTCCACACCCAATCTCCCATCATTAACCACGGGCTGTGAACGCTGCAGCTCCAGCTTGGCTACCCACAAGGTGGACAGTTCAGGGTCAACATTTCCTTGGAATGACTCTGCCCCGACACGGGTGTGGTTTAGAAACAGCATTTATGACTGTGGCTTGTCACGTGTGGAGTTATAAACCACGTGCGGCACATTTAGCCTCATCGCTGAGCACTAAGCTGGCCTACTGATGCTCAGGACGCTCTGTGAGGTCCCCAGGAATGGATCCAGGTATTTGTACCCTGGCTGCCTATGATGTGATTGGCACTGTTTTAAGCCCTTTCAACAGCAGCCCTATGAGGAGCTATTATTATCTCCATTTTACAGATGAGAAAACTGAGCCAGAGAGTGCTGAAATAACTTGCCTATGATCTTAAAAAATAGACACACATCCCTTAAGAGCTGAGGACAGAACTACTTATTCTGAACACTAAACAAAAGCGTCTGAAAGGGCAGGAGGCCGGGGAGGGGACGCGATGGGTGAGTGGGGTCACAGGGTGGAAGGCGGGAGAGGAGGCAGGGAGCCTGCTCTTGGCAGGGCTATGGCGGAGACAGGAGGGTGAGGCTTCTGACCGGCACTCGAGGACTTGACCCTTGCAAAGGGATAAAACCCACGTGAGCCCTCAGGATCTAGAAGCAGCGAGGCCTCTTCCGACTCAGAATCCCACAGGGTGCCCTCCCCATGCCCCGCTTCTGCTGGACGCCCAGGAAAGCTGCTGCGAGTCATCTGTCCATCTGTCTGTCTGTTCATCCACCCAGTGACTGTCCGCTGAGCGCCTGCAATGACTCAGACTCCTGGCAGCGAACACACAGGCCAGGCCCTGCCCTCGGGAGGCTTCCTCCCCCCGTGGGAGAGCGGGTATCACACTAGTGCTTGTGTCATGTAACTTTAGGCACGATTAAGTGCTAGGGAGAGGTTGTTTTTCTTTTTTCCTGTCCTCAGGGGACAGAGCTAAGGGAAGGAATACAGAACGTTCTGAGAAGCCTCACTGCTCAGTACCTGAATCACCGTGGGGCAGATGCTCTGTTATCAAGAAAGCATTAACTGCAGGTTCTTACTAGTCATCAATTTTACACACATCAGTGCATATGTGTCAAAACAACTAATACTAAACTTTCGTTCGGTTATTTGTCTGGAAATACGTTAATATAAATGTTTCAGACATTACATGAAATTTCTAAAAATCTTCTGTTCTGGTATAATGTGAGAAGTCAAAATTCTAGTTATTACTTTAAAATGTATATCTCAGAAATAACTAAATTTCCTTGTCAATTGCATTATTATGAACTTTCATCAAATCTTAAAAAAAGAAAGCATTAACACCTGGAAGCCACATGCGCACCCCTCCCGCAGCCAGCAGTGAGACACAGGTCCAGCTGGGAGGGGTGGGCTTGGGCCACTGTCCAGGAGGGGGAAGGGCAAGCCCTTTGGCCCCTTGGCAGGCTTCCTTGTCCCCTAACAGGGAGTCAGACTGGGCAGTCCCCTCAGCTTCGACTTCCTCACCTTTTTTGTTTTGTTTTGTTTTTTTGTTGCAGTACGCGGCCTCTCACTGCTGTGGCCTCTCCCGTTGCGGAGCACAGGCTCCGGACGCGCAGGCTCAGCGGCCACGGCTCACAGGGCCCAGCCACTCCGCGGCATGTGGGATCTTCCCGGACCAGGGCATGAACCCGCATCCCCTGCATCGGCAGGACTCTCAGCCGCCGTGCCACCAGGGAAGCCCTCTCACCTTTTAATTAAGGTTTCTCCAAGCGTACTCTGTGAGGAATTCTATGAAAAGCTGGTTCTAGGTCAAGTAAATTTGGGACACACTGCATTTGGACCCTGCCTCTCTCTTGCAGATTCACTAGTAGAGCCTCTACCAAGGCTCTGAAAGGTCCTGAAGTAGAAGAACCTGCCTGGTCGATTTTCCATCGTTGCTCAAACTTGGACGCCCTGGCACACCTGTACCAGGGCATGAACCCGCATCCCCTGCATCGGCAGGACTCTCAGCCGCCGTGCCACCAGGGAAGCCCTCTCACCTTTTAATTAAGGTTTCTCCAAGCGTACTCTGTGAGGAATTCTATGAAAAGCTGGTTCTAGGTCAAGTAAATTTGGGACACACTGCATTTGGACCCTGCCTCTCTCTTGCAGATTCACTAGTAGAGCCTCTACCAAGGCTCTGAAAGGTCCTGAAGTAGAAGAACCTGCCTGGTCGATTTTCCATCGTTGCTCAAACTTGGACGCCCTGTGCACACCTGTGCACACCCGTCCTGGGGGCTCTCGGCTCTGAGTCTGCAGAGCGTCGTTCTCAGAAGGGCCACATGCCGGGCCCTGAGGGTTGGTTCCAATCTTCCACGATGTTCTCCTTCCACAGGGGGTGGGGCGGAATGGGGTGCTTTCAAAGCACCACCAGGTACCACAGAGGTCCCAGGAAGGAGCAGACCATCTGTGTGATCCAGTGACAAAAAGACCCCGTCCCCACTTGGGTAAGAGGAGTGACGGGTGGGATGACTCTGTACGGAGAGGGGTTTTCGGTTGTTCTTGGAAGCAGGTGTTGGAAGGTATTGGGGGGTTTGCTGATCCCCAGTGAAAGTTCACGTCTGAATGTTTCTACAACCTTCTTGCTATGGCGTGCCTCATTATTTTAAAGCAGGCTTTACACTGAATTCCAGAAAAACCAACTCCGCTCTGCAAACAGCAGAGATAGCTGCCACTTTCTTCTTCTGGCGCATTTCAGTGATCTGAATTTGCAAAATAAAGTCCATGAATATGTAAGAAACACTCTTTTGAGCTGCCACTCTGAAATTTCCCTGTTTCCTGTGTGTTTGCTGAGGCCCAGCCAGAAACCAGATGACACACCTTTTTCTTCCGGAGCACGGGCCCGATTTTCCGTAAGAAAATGCCGTTTACCCCTCGCCTCTCATCCTCGGGGCCCACTTGCCCTCGGTTCAGACGGGACTTGCTCTGGAAGGTTCGCGAGGGTACCACCTGGGGCAGCCGCTGCGGCCCTGGCTTCCAACCTCACAGGATGCTTCCCCGGGGCGCCAGCTGTGTGTGGCTAAGCGAATTGCAGTTAAACAAAGTGAGAACTGTACACCCCATCGCACTCGCCACCCACAGGTGGCTGGTGGCTGCTGTGCTGGCTGGTGCAGATCTAGAATATTCTTGTCAGCACACAAAGGACTACCGGGCAGCCTGATCTTGGAAGTGGCTCGCTGGCCCAGACTGGTCCTCGGGGGACGGCGGGGCTGGAAGTGGCACACCGCCTCGCTGTGACCCACCCCTGCATCCTTCCTGCTGGGAAGCCCTCCTGCCCAGCGCTCACATGGCGTCACCCACCCTGGGGGCTTTCAAATACCCTGATGCTCTCTGACCCCAGACTCAAGAAATTAGGCTATTCGGGCTGGGGACCTGGGACCCATGTTTCCCAAAAGCTCTTCGGCTCTTCTGCCGAGAGCCAGGGAGGTCATCTGCCTGGGACAGCAGCCAGAGCCGGCTGGAGCTGCCCGCTCTCTGTGCCTCGCTTGTCTAATCTACCAGGCCTGGGCCATGCCGGGCAGCTGCGAAGACAGCACCACCAAGAAGAGACAGGAGGCCAAGAGTCCGGGAGGATGGAGGACAGCCAACTTCACACAAAGGCAGGCGCCCTCTTTTGAAACGGTTCTATTTAAAGGAGGCTCTGGGATACACTGAGTTAAAGTGCCTTTGTTTAAAACGGCCGGCCCCCCGAGAGTAGATGAGCGTTCCTGGCATCGCCCGGCCATTTTTGTGCACGAGGCCCTCATTTTACCAAACGCCTGTTACTGTCTCACAGGAAAAGCACCTTCTAGAGCCCTGTTCTTCTGGGACACACAGGCCACGGCTGGGCCTGTCAAGCCCTCACTTACCTCCCTCCTTTTCCACGAGGACCGAGGGGGTGGGCGTTTCAGAACTAAGCTTCTATCATCTAATAGGCAGCCCTGGCGCCCGTGGTTAAGCATCTGTGAGCAGGGACACGGGCAGGTGCAGACGCAGACAGGGGCCCTGGGAGGAGCACATGGCCGGGCAGGAAGGCGATGGGGAGGGGGGGGCCACGTGGCCCTGTAGCCGCAGCCCAGCCCGCCCGAGGCGGAAGGCAGCTCCAGGAGGATGTCCCCTCTGGCCCCGAGGCCGGCTGTGAGGGGGCAGCCATCGCAGGAAGGTGGCAGTGGGACATGTGGCCTCGGGCCCCCTTCCCTGGTGCCCCCGTGCACATACCTGGTTCCCCCCAGCGTTGTGACACTCGTAAACTCCGACAACGCCGTCAGCAAAGTGTCCCAAAGTGTCCAGGCAGTTGGTCCCCTGCTGCAAGGCCCCAAAAGCTATATCCTGGTGGTCGGGAACCCTGGAGCCAAGGAGAGAGTCACTTGCTGGGCTTGAGGGCCGTGGGCTCCGTGGCTGCCCCCACCACCCCTGTGCTCAGAGCCCTTGCCTCACGATGGGGCCTGGCGGCAAGAAGGCTGCCACCAGGCCACGTGCCCCCAGCGCAGGCCTGGCCGTGCCCCCGAGACAGCACGGCTCTGAGCCTCTCGACTCCTAACCCTAAGTGCAGGTATTAAGTCTAAGCATTCTTTCTATCTCGTACCAGGGACAGTTTTCAGTAAAGAAAAAGCCCCTTGTCTCTTCAGGGTTAGTTGTTGACAGTCATTTAGGAAAGCACTTAATGTAGTCAGATCCTGCTGCCTGGAACTTTCCAGTAGACTCAGGATTAGCCTTTACCTAATAGAGGGGAGACCACAGGTGGGTCTGTCAGGTGGCCTGGTACAAACAGGGCAAGGCAGCACAATGCGGGGACGGGGCAGGCTTCGAGCCCGAGCCCCGCCCTGGCCGCGGACCAGCCGTGCGCCAGTCAGACGCATCCTCTCCAGCCCCGTGCCCCCTTCACACAGTCCTTCCCCGCAGGGCCGCCGCGAGAGCCGTGGAGCACCGCACCCTGGCACTCAGCGCAGGGCCGGGCCCGCAGGAAGCAGGCGGTGGATGGCAGCAAGTGTCGCTGACACATGCCAACATCAGGCTGCCGTCCCCCTTGCCTGGCACGGACAGGGCAGCAGGTCCACCCACCGCCGTGGTATGAATGCTTGACATGCGGTCTCAGGTGGTGCAGGGCCCAACGTTGCCCCAAATCACAGGGGACCTCAGGGCGAACTGTGCTTTAATGTCACTGCATCGGGCGTCTCGTCACCAAGTCACAGGCCACGGTGACATCAAAATCGAAGTGGGCGCCGTTAGGGGCTAGAGCCCACTGCTGTGAAGCCTCTGGCCGACCAGGGGAGAGGCAAAGGCCAGGGGCGCCCCACGGGTGATGTCCTTCCCCTCGGGGCATGGGGGGCATGGCTTCCCTTTAAAAGCACAGGGAGCCAAAGAGCGACGGGAGTGAACAGCAGGGGACATGCCGCGGGACCTGACTCTCAAATCTCTGCGACAAGGGCTCTGAAGGGCCCGTCAGCACACAAGAGGATGGTGGTGACTCCTGCAGTCACAACCCCCGTGCTCGAGACACGTGGCCTGCTATAAGGTGCGCTGGAATATTAGGAAAAAGGAATGTGCTACTTCGAGGCAAAACCCGTCCGGCAAAGCCCTTTAAGAGGAAGTCCAGGTGCAGCCTGAAGCCCGCAGACCGGCAGGTCCTCCAAGCGCTCCCTCAGGCCTCGAGCGGGCAGTCCTTTAAAAGGACAGGCCAGGTGTAGAGGGAAGCAGGGGGCCAGCGTGGTCACTACCGTGACGTCAAAACCAGGCTGGAGGAGGGGGCACCACAGGCAGGCCATCCTCCGGGCCTCTGCCGGGCATCGTCACCCGCTGGCCCGAGGGGATGGAGCTGGTTTAGTCTGGGGTCTCCAGGGCAAGAGGAGCTGGGAGGGTGAGGCCTGAGCCGGGAGGGCCTGAGGACTGGAGGCACAGGGCACCCCGCGGGGGAGGCTGGGGGCTGCCCCTCTGGCCACTCACGGAGCCCCATCATCTTGCCAGGGGGACGAGCTGCATGAACTGACACCTGGGAGGGTTTCCAGGTCTGTGAGGAACGGGGGGGGGGGGGGGGGGGGG